CGCTCATGAGATCCCAGGAAACCCAACAATGGCATCCTACTACTCACTTATTCGGGTTTGCGTGTGTCACCCGAATACGTGACGAGGAAGTACGATTCTTTGGTAACCGCGCCAACGTTCCATTGGCCATGGAACGGACTACAGGTTTGCGTGTGTCACCCGTTGATTGGCAAATAAACCTGAGACCCGGGTAGTTGCGTGTGTCCCCCGGCGAGGTGGTACGGATATACTCTGAAAGACTTGAGCTCGGGTCTGATGAGTATTTTCCGAGGCGGATGGTCGGTGAGGGGGGAGTTAGCATAGAGCTGCTTCGCCCGGCAGTCGGCGGCATCGGGGATCGATGTCTGTAGTGGGTATGGAGATGACCGGTACCGAGAGCCGTGATATCGGTGACCGATGAGGAGTATGAAGATCACTTGAGGTCCTCGCAAACGATTTTGTTTGGACTGTTGCGTCTCGTGTTCGACACAGGCATGAATGAGTTGTTGAATTACCTACGTGTGAGATACACGTAGAGACGATTGACGGATTTGTTTGAGATTGCTGATTGATTTTAACGATGATTGATTTGATTGATATTTCTCGTCGCTTGTATATTACAGTATTGACTATATTGCTTGGTCGTTTTCAATAAAAATAGAAATCTCGGGTTACACCCGAATTCCTCCCTAAGCACATAGCTTAGGACGTTGTTACGCAACGTTTCAGGTCGTGAGCAACAGTAGTGACTGAGGCAGACGTGGGTTCCGATGACAATTGGACTATCCGGATCATGTATAATTATTTTGTCGTACTTTATTTTTTAAAAATAAAGAGTGGTGATCTTTAGACTCTTGTATTATACAATTCACCATTCATACTATATACTGGTATCTTCAAGTACGTGTACAAATATATTTCTGTATTTTATAATGTCTTCCGCTGTATTATAATTAAAATGAATGTTTTAATCTTCCCGCGATTTTACATTTCGAAATTTTTCAATCGTGATTTTATTTATCAACGTGGCACAAGCGTAAGCGGGATGCGGGTGTCACAGGAAGAATGCTTAACCGATTTTTCGGTTTTGTAATCTCCTTCTTCTACTCCGATCTCTTGTCTCTTGCCCCATTTTGTGTGCTCTAGGGTGTATTCTCTAATAGAAACTTGAATTCTTTTCGACCTAGAGGTTTTTTCCATCTTATCTCACTTTGTTTTGGGCAAAATTGGAAGTATTCCCGAATCTGGGGGTAGAACCGATCGTTTCAGGCCATGCCAAACCGATCATTTTAACTTTCTGAGCAATTTTTCAATTATGCGTAGCTGAACCGACCGTTTCACCAAATCCAAAACGATCGTTTCATGACTCTGATCAGTTTTGATGGGCTTCACAAATTCACTCATAACATCCTGTTCCGATATTGGATTTGAGTGATCTCGGTGTCTATGCGTAGATATTGAGAAGAGCTTTCCAATGATATTAAGAACGCATGATTTGGACTTGTAGAGTGAAAGTTATTGAACTTGTAAAATTTGACGTTTTCTGAGCTTCACGTTTTCCCTGGAAACACTCCAAATGTTCCCGTTTCGTTGGCGATGTTCCGTAGTCCATGTTTTCCACTCTTTTTGCTCTTTTTATACGTGAAAATCTATTTAAACACTAAAAAACACAACCATCCAATATCGAAGCCAAATGTACCCTAGAATACCTACAAATATGTAAAACCTAGTGAAATACGCTAGACATCCTATATCAAAACATCATATAAAATACATGTTATCAAACTATAAAAATGCATGGTCATTCTATAGATGAATGATTTATTTATCCGATCAATCGATTGATCAGAAAAAAGCGATATATATATATGTTATATCGGTTTTGGATCGTTACCGTATTTCTAGAAAAATATGCGAGTGGGAGAAAATACGGTGAAAAATCTCGTATTATTCTTTAGTGATAGTTTCAACGTTTTGTGAGACGTTATATATATTTGGATTTATATACATATACAAATTATATTTCTATTGTGTAACAAGTGAATAGAGGTTGAATAGTTTAGAATTTGGCCACGAAAAAAGAAAACGATTACGCACTTATATTTAGGTTAAGAAAAAATCGATCCTACCATATAACTAATTTTTTACAAAATTTTAAAAAATTATGTTTGAAGATTTCAAAAAATATTAAGTTATTAATATATTTTTTGAATTTAAACTATATTTTTATTACGTTTATATTTTATTATAATTTATTTTTATTAAAAATATTTTTTTCTAAAATTTTTCACCCAATTTTCATTTATTTATTTTATTATATTTTAATCCAACTTTATCAATTTATTTTTAAAAAATAACATAAATAAATAACTAAAAGAATAAAATATCTAGAAAAAAAATCAGTCAAAGCTTTTTACTGCTTATGATGATCTATCATTGTCATTATTACAGTGTTGATGTAAACACAAGTAAGTGGGAGTTTGTCTTGTGGGACACCCTTGCGTTCCCAGTCTTTAGCATTTTAGTTTGACCAGTTTTTTTCATTTATTTATTGCAACAACACAACCAAATCTGGTCAAGATTTTTTTCATATATATATATATACACAAATATAATCTTTTGAAAAACATAACTCTTAATTTTTTTAAGACATTCTATTAAAGGTTTAGCTATGCAAAAATTTATGGAAATCTCATCTTAAAAGATATAAAAATCTACAAATTGTATCAAGTTATCCGTTCTAACTCAAATTAAAATATAATTATATACTTCCTCAATTTCACACGTTTTAGAGTGAAATTTTCGTTTCAAAATAAATGATGCTTTTAGATTTTCAATGTACTTTTTAATATTTTTTTTCTTCCAAATTTATCTTTAATTAAGAATTAATAATATTTAAATATTCTAGATGTTTAGAGATAATAATTATCTATATAATAAATAAGAGTATTTTAAATAAAACATTATTTTTCTTAATTTATGTGTAGAATTCTTAAACATCATTTATTTTAAAACGGAGAGAATATTAACTTTATCGTCATAACTACTTTTTAGTAACGTTAATTTCAGGATTTGAAAGAAATATATATCTTAATTTTTATGACAAAAACTCTACTTTTGTGTCCAAATGAACATTTTAAGAAAAAAATCAAATACGGATTTTGGAAAATGGATTTAGATTATTTTGGACATTCTGCATTTATTGGGATGTATTTTGCTTTTGCGTGGACGTTTATTGTGATGTTTTAGTGGAGATGTGAGTGTAACTTCAGGAAGCAATGGGTCTTATAAGTATATGTCTAATTGAATTAAAAATAAATTAATAGAGATGATATATTTTTAGATGCCTTTTATTTGGATTCATTCATAGTTGATATTTTTAATTTAAAAATTTAAAATGAAGAGTATTTTTAAATATGTTTTATCCATTAAGGTTGGGTGGTAGACTTAAATAAATTATATATTGAAATAAACATGCCCTTTTTTTTTAAAAAAAAGAGAAATTTAGTAGTTCAACTAGGCCTCATAGTTTCTATGTAATAGATCTTAAAGTCTAAAAGAGAAAGAGTAAAGTCGTCACTTTGGCTCCGAAGGGTTGTTTTAAGACAAATTGAGTTAATTGGATTAACCTTAAAGTTCATTTCAATGGTGTGCAGATGTTTGAATTTTATGAAATGTTATTGAATTTAATCGAGGGATAATATTGTTATCTGTTTTTTTCTTCAAATTTTTATGGAAGATTTTATATATACAACTAAAAAAGACATACAAATTTGTTTTCTTTAATTTTATAACAAAGTATTGTTTATAATCATTAGTTGCCATACGTTTTAAAGCATGAAAAGCAAGAGTAGATGGCGGAATTAGTGCACTATTACTCAAATTTTAAATATTCATAAATATATATGCGCCTGAAAAGAGATAATTCCTATGTATATGCTATCAAATTTGATTACTCTAACATCAATTCGAGAAATACCAAAAAAAAAATGAAGAATGAAAAGGAAAAGGAAAGAAAAGAAAATATATTAGCATGGTCATAATAATATATTTGTTTAAATTGATGTGAATGATTGTGATATATCTTATAAGCACGATGAACAAAATATCCAAAAAACCGAACCGATCCATTATTCAATTCGTAACTGAACCGAAAATTCGGATATCCGGAGTTTACGGATTGGATACGAATATTTATTTGAAAATATTTATCGGATACAGATATCGAAATTGAATTATCCGCCATATTCGATCCGATATCCATATTTTGTAATAATATTATTAAATATAAGAATAATTTAGTATGGAGATTTAAAATATTTTTTAAGGAGATTCAAAAAATGTTTTATATATATATTGAGGTTTATGATATTTAATTTTTTGAATATCAAGATTTATTATGTTTAATGTTTTGAATTTTTAATTTTGAATATATTTGTATGTGATAGATTATGATTATATTTATATTTGAGTTGATTTGGAATGTTTGAATTATGAATTTTAAATTGTGAATATAATTTATATTAAATAAATTATATATTTTATTTGGGTTTGAGTTTGTTATTTAATTTTAGTTCAAAAATTTATAACGTTTTAGATCGGATACGGATATCCGCAAATATACGTGATTTTTACGGATATCCGAAGTTGCGGATATCCTAAAATTACAAATAAGTGACGGATAATAAAATCGAATATTTGTGCAAATCGGATATAGATACGGATATCTCAAAAATTCCGAATATTTGATCTGTACCCACTTCTAATTATTGAGTAGAACAAATTTTCTAATAAATACTTGGATCCATAATTTTACAATTTCATAATGGCCATCATTTTAAACTCTAAAAATATTTAGAATTTTGAGAAGTTTAATTCACAAGGATCAATAATTCAATTTGTAAAACAATTAGAATGAGATGTAAATAAATCATGTACATAATGACATAAAATCTTAAGCTTCACTTCTACGGAAGAAAGAAAAAAGGAATAATAACGATAGAATTTAATTTTCATTTATTTAATTTTACAATTACATTCCAAAATTATAAATGCCACACGTGTGGGCTCTTAATGAGATAAGGTGCCACACTCTTCCTCTTCCATTTACAAACACATCGTCTCTAAGTCTCTCTCACATCATCTTCTTCCTCGATTCGCTTCAATGCCGGGGAATTTAGAGCCGTTGGATATCGGAGTCCAGATTCCGTACCATTTCCGATGTCCGATCTCCCTCGAGCTGATGCGTGACCCTGTGACCGTCTCCACAGGCCAAACCTACGATCGCTCGAGCATCGAGTCGTGGGTCGCCATGGGAAACACCACTTGCCCTGTCACTCGAGCTCCACTTACTGATTTCACCCTCATCCCTAACCACACCCTTCGTCGTCTCATCCAGGACTGGTGCGTTGCTAACCGCTCCAATGGCGTCGAACGCATCCCCACTCCCAAACAACCCGCAGATCCTTCCTCCGTTCGATCCCTCCTCAGCCAAGCCTCTGCCGTCTCCGGTACCCACGTCTCCGTCCGCTCACGCGCCGCCGCTCTCCGCCGTCTCCGGGGACTCGCTCGCGATTCGGAGAAGAATCGTGCATTGATCGCCGCACACAACGCGCGTGAGATTCTGGTGGGTATTCTGTTTTCTGGTTGTGGTGGTGGTGTCGACTCGGGTTGTGACTCGTCCGAGTTGGTCTCGGAGTCGCTGGGTCTTCTGGTGATGTTCCAGATGACGGAGGCCGAGTGCGCGTCCATCGCGGCGGATCCGAATCGGGTCGGGTTAATGACCCAGTTGCTGTTCGATTCGTCGATCGAGGTCCGCGTGAACGCCGCCGCGATGATCGAGATGGTGTTGACCGGATCGAAATCAATGGATCTGAAGCGTTTGATTTCTGGGTCGGGTACGATTTTCGAAGGCGTCCTCGATCTTCTCCAGAATCCAATCTCTTCATTCCCACGAGCCCTCAAAGTCGGGATCAAGGCACTCTTCGCTCTCTGCCTCGTGAAGCACACGCGCCACCTCGCCATCTCCGCCGGAGCTCCGGCGGTCCTAGTCGACCGTCTCGCGGCAGGCCTAGTTGACCGCATCGCGGCGGACTTCGACCGGTGCGCCACGGAGCGGGCCCTCGCGACGGTGGAGCTACTCTGTCGGATTCCGGTGGGGTGCTCAGCGTTTGCGGAGCACGCGCTCACCGTGCCGGTCCTGGTGAAGACGATACTTAGGGTTTCGGATCGAGCGACGGAGTACGCGGCGGGGGCTCTATTGGGGCTGTGCTCGGCGGCGGAGCATTGCCGGAGGGAAGCGGCGGCTGCCGGAGTGGTGACGCAGCTTCTGCTCTTGGTGCAGAGCGATTGTACAGAGAGAGCGAAGAGGAAAGCACAGATGCTCCTGAAGCTTCTCAGAGATTCGTGGCCCGACGACTCACTCGGTATCTCGGACGAGTTCGGTTTGAGCGAAATCGCCCCGTTTTGATTTTTTTACCCTTTTTTTTTCTACCATTGATTTTTTATTAGAAAAAAAATTCAAGTACGTAATTATATATATATATAAATTTGTTTTTTGATTAGAAGGAAAAAATAGAAAAGAAGAAGAAATTTTATAGGAGTTAAAACTTTGTTGTGATCGTTAGGTGGAAGGAAAGTAACTCGAAAAAAAAAATATTGGGATTTTGATATATAGATGATTGTGATATAATTTTGTGCCTTTAAAGTTTTTATTTAGGCCTTTTGGAGCAAAAATTGCCAATCTAAATTTTTTAAATTTGGTTTTTCTAAAAACTAGGAAAACTACTTTATGGAAAAAAATGAACTAAAAATTAAAAACTACATTTTTTGGATTTATAAATCTTTAAAATCCAAAAGGCAAAAACCAAAAACTAAAATCTAAAAACCAAAAACTAAATCCAAAAACTCAAAATAAAAACCCCAGACACCTTATTTATTGTCTTGTATTTTATCATTTCATTGGAATAAATATTTAAGTTTAGATATGTTGAAGATAAATCAAATAATACGGAATCGTATTTAAATGATTGAAATATAAAACTTTTAAAAAATTAAAACAATCGAATATAAAATGAAATTTAAATATAAATAAAATCCAAAATAAACTTAAACAAAATAAAAATATAAACGAAACAGAAATACTTACTCTTAAAATTTTCTATATATATAACAAATGTTTTAAAAATCGGGTTACAGAATCAGGTGAGTGGTAGGCAAAGGTATAGGCATGTGGTTTGGGGCCGAATGATTATCTAACCTTTGTCTAGGGTTCACCTAATTAACGAAAACACATGCTGCCATTTCGAAAGCAAAAAAAAAATCATTGCAGATTTTATTCCGACATTAAACAGAGCTGTTGTGTTTCTTGCAAATTCAACAATCATGTGGTAAATATTTCTCTTAGTCGTCGTGAACATGGCATAGTTCATATCAGAAGTCCGGTGATTTCCTCTGGCAGCTCGAGTTTTCGACGACCCGTTTCGCTTCTCAGCTTTGCCGGCAGCCCCTTTTTCTTCACCCACACGAATCACCTCGTAGCAGTTGGTTGCAACACCAAGGCCAGGATGAACGGATATTCAGTCGTAGCTCGCGAGGTGCGAGTCTACCTGCGACGCGAGAAACAGACAATGGCAAGAGGAGGGTGCAGAGTCCTCGCGCTCAACGTGCTCACCCTCGAATATCATTGAACTTGGACAGATTCTTCATGGTAATGGATATTCGGTTGTGGAGCTCGGACGGTTACTTTTGTCAAATCTATGACTCGAGACTCAAAATTGGATGAACGGTTCGATGCAGTTACTGTAAAGTTTCAGTCACGAGACCGGTTATAGAAACGGTTTCTATCCGTTTCAAACATTGCTCATATGTTTAAGGAGTAGAAGACTAGAAGTTATGTGCATGTGCATTGTTTCCGTTGTGCGGGCATTAGCATAGGTTTCGGCATGTTGATTTCGATCACTGAGGCAAACGTATATATAGAAAAAACACCGGAAACGGAAACGTCGGGCAGACCACCATGCTGCGGATAATGGTACATACGACCCCTTGGAATCATCTATCAAAATTGACCATACCAAAGTTATTAAGATTAGAAACGTTGGAAATGCAAAAGCAATACATTTCAAATGTAAAAGTTAAGACCTGTTGCTGCATCATAAGTGAAGGCTGAACGGCTCCTCCTCCTCCACGTCTTCCACCGGGACGCTGTTGAACCATCGGCATGAAGAAGTTTCCAGAAACATTTTAATCCGATTTTCAGCTCTTTAGTTACCCGGGGCAGCATCATAGCTGGAGGCCCTTGACCATAAAACAGTTGTTGGCCAATTCCATTACTGCCCGGCGGATACATTGGCACACGAGGACCGAGACCAGGTGGGTCTCAATTGCGCAAACCGGTCCTTGCGCAAACCGGTCCTTTGCTATTTTACTTTCTTTTGAATCCATACACTTCCATCATCACTACTTCCACTTGCTTTCTTTCGGTTTAGTTTCGATTAGGATTTGGATTTAGCAACCGGTCCTTGCGTTCGATCCCGTATTACGACGATCTGTATCGTTGCGGTGAGTTGTGAATCGGGTTATAAATTCTAGACTCGGTACACACGTATCAAATTTTTGGCGCTGTTGCCGAGGACTGGTTAGCCTATTTCTAGGTCTTTATTGATTCTAGATCTTTGCTTTATAGAGTTGTGCTTTTTAGAGTCTTTTAGGTTTTTAGGTTTTTCGGTTTTTGCTTTCTTTTTCTTCTTGATTTTCTTTGGTTTTTGTGGATTCACTTGGTCTCGAGTTCTTCTTTCTCTTTGCCGTTAACAGGGTTCTATGCATGACGAGGAGCTCTGCTCAGAGAGAAGACCTAGTCTACGATCCAGAGATTGAACGGACTTTGAGGGATATCCGATTGCAGTAGAGAGGAGAGGCGATGTCGAGGTCAAGCAGTTTGCACGACCGTCAACAAGAGCGTGCGGTTCATGATGAGGAGCATCAGGAGAATCAGAACCACATGAACCAGGAGCATATGAATCCGCTCTACGATCAGCATACCGAGGGCGAAGCTACTTACGTTGCAGAGGAGACTTTGGGTTCTTACATTGCACCGAAGCACACCCAACTCCTTGTTGGGTTTTCCTGGGATCTCATGAGCGAATCTAATTCCTAAGAGATCGATTCTAGGGTTTGCGCAGCGGAAGTAAAACAAAAATTTATAGAACCCTAGAACCATGCTGCTATTGAATCGTAGAAACGTTAGAACGCTTACCTCAATCGATCCGGGGCCTGTATCAATCGAAGAACACGTCTGATCACGAAAGGCAGGAAGAATACCTCGCCCTCTACACGTATCCACACCTCGGGATGGATTCCAACGATTGGAACTTGTCTGCTAGGACTCGAATCTCTATTCGATTTGTGCACCGAGAAATCTCGAGACTTAGAACACGTTTTTGGATCTCCAAAAACTCTCTCTTTACTGCCAAAAGTCGGCTGCTCAAAGTCTCTCCCTCATTAGGGTTCTAATCTCTTTCTTATAAAGTGATTTAACCCTAATTTCGGTTTAATTTTCGGAAAACTGGAACCTGGAACGGA